GAGACAAATAACTCTACGACGGCTGGTATCCTGAACCATTCACCCTTTATTCATCCGTGCATAGCACGTGACACAACCTAGACGCTTACAGCCAGCTCCTAGAGTGAGCAGAACCCCTTACACTCCCGTTTGTGTCAGTCAACCAGAACTCAGACTGGACCAGGTTAACAGCTCCAATCAAGGAACTCATTCTAGGAGTTGACTGATCTCATTCCAACAACTACACCCCTCCCCCTCCAAGTACTGGGACAGAGGCCCGTTCTTTTTTCTGTAGTTTCTCCTGGGTCGTTTTTGCACCAGATCCAGTGCCTCTGATACTGGCAGCATGTACCGGGCCACAGGCTGCCTCTTGTGCCCAAAGCATTTTGGCTAAAACGCAACATCTTCAGGATGTAAAGAAGTTGTAGCTGCGACATCCGCTGTATTCATCTCGTCCTCAGGAGGTTTCTTCGACACCAGGTGGTGGGTTCTGACAGCCTTGCTGAATATTCTGATAGGCCAAGTATGTTTTGCTCCTGTTCAGTTTGCAAGGTCGCAGCTTTCGTATGGTCCATGTGCTTGTTCAGGACTACCTCTCCTACCTGAACTTTGTATGTCATGGGACCTGACTTCGCATTGACCATCTCTCTTACCCAGGCCGGGCTTTCCTGTGGTTTCAATACCAAACTTCGTCCCCTGAAGTAAACGGCTTCTCTCGCTTAGAGTCTTGCGCCTGACATTGGCGCTCCTAATGCCCCAGGTCCGGGAAGATCAGATTTAACCTGGTGCTGAGTTGTCTCCCTATTATTAACAACTCTGCTGGAGCTAGCCCTATTGTTGTGTGAGGAGTGGTGTTGAGTGAAGCTGTAGGCGGTTTCATTAAGCCCAAGTTTGGACTGCTCTTTCCACCAGACCACTGGACGATGGATGATATGGAGCTGTCCATACACGACGAATGCCATTCGACTTCAGGAAATAATCAAATTCCCTGCTGGCAAATGATAGCACACTGTCTGTGACCAACATCTCAGAGTCCATGCATTGCAAAAAATGCTGGCAACTTTTCAATCGGGTCCCCGTGTTTGACAAATGAACTCAATGCACGTCCAACCACTTTGAATGGGTGTCCACAATAACTAAAATCATACCGCCCATGGAAGGGTAACTGAGTCCATGGTTTACCAGGCCATTTCCACAAATATGGGGGAGCTGCCAGTAGCAATTTTTATCCGCGTTGGCGCTCTGTGCATTCCCAACCAACACGGCTATGTCGGCATCCAATACTGGACACCAGACATAACTTCTCACCATCATCATTTTGGAAACGTCTGGATGACGCTGGTGGAGTTCAGCCAGTATCTGACAGTGACCTTTGCTCCAGCCAATCACTCTTGCTCTCCACAAGATGCTGGCCTCTATGGTGACCTGGTCTTGTCAGGTCCAGAAAGATTTTAGTACTGGTTGTGATGGCCCTTTTGCTTCACCCATCACCACCAGCTGTTTTCGTTTAGCCAGGACAGGATCTTTTTGCGCCCACAGTCTGATATTGTCAGCAGTGACTGGAAATGTGTCCAGAGGCAGCACCATCGCGGATGTATTCACCAGTGGGAGGCAGCTAAAGGCATCTGCATTTGCCACTTGGCCTCCCAGACGGTGTTCCAACTTGTAATTGTGCACATTTAAATTGAGAGCCTACTGCTGAATTTGAAGCAATGGGCAGCATGGGCCTGTTATCTTTAAGTAGCCCTAACAGGAATTTGTGGTTCATTACTACTACAAATTTACATTCATAAAAGGTATTGGTGGAACTTTCTCACACCAAAGATGACTGCCAAACCTTCCTTCTCTATCTCAGCGCATCTTTGTTCGGTATCAGCCAAAATTTGGGAAGCATACGCTATTGGGCATTCCCTTCCAGACAGCCACTGGTGAGGCAACACTACCCCAATCCCAATGGGGAGGCATCACATGTCAGCGTTACATCTCGCTTGGGATCATAGTGTGCCAACACAGACGACGATAGCTGCTTCTTCACTTGCCTAAAGGCTATATCTTGTATATGAGACCATTTCCAAGGCTGACCCTTTTTCAATAGCAAATGTAAGGGTGCCAGGATGGAGGCCAGGTTACGTATGAATTTTCTGTAATAATTCGCCAATCCAAGGCAAGATCCAAACTCTGGTACCGACATGGGGAGCAGGAGCACTTTTGATCACCCTACTTTACCTTCTAACGGGTGTAACCCAGTCTTGTCAACTCTGTAGTCCAAACGGGGTGCCTGTAACACACATTTTTCCCTCCTAAAGGTGTAAACCCACCTTGGAGAAACATCTAAGGACTATGTCCAAGTTCTCCAAGTGCTCCTTATTGGTTTTCCCCGTTATTAGAATGTCATCTAGATAAATGGCAACCTGGGGTAAACCTGGAAAAATGTTCTCCTATGTCTACTGGAAAATGACACAGTTCGATGACCTCCCAAAAGGCAGTCTTGAATATTGGTGCAAACCCTTATGGCTTCCCTGTAGTATAGTTCTTATACTCTGTATACCCTGTAGTATACTTCTGAGAATCTCATCTGATCAATTGATTTATTGTCATGTGTACTGAAGTACAGCGAAAAGCTTTGTTTACAAGTGGTACACGCAGATCATAGTAAACGAGGACGTACAGATCAGAACGACTTTAGACAGAGGTACAGGTTACGTTGAACAGGGTGTGCAATAGGGGAGATCAACATTAGCAAGATCAATCATTATTTGATGATAGAGAGTCCATTCATCAAGAACGGCCGGGAAGAAGCTTTTCCTGAATTTTCTCGTGCGTGTTCAGGCTTCTGTATCTTCTGCCTGATGGAAGAGGTTGTACGTGGTCATTACCGGTGTGCAATGTGTCATTGATGATGGCTGCCTGTCTGCGGCAGCAACCACATAAATGGAGTCCGTAGATGGAAGGTTGGCTTCCGTGATGGTCTGGACTATGCACACCACCTTCTGTAGTTTCTTACGGTCCTGGGCAGAGCAGTTGCCATACCAGGCTGTTATGCACCTGGACAGTATACTTTCAATGGTGCATTTGTAGAAGTTGCTGAGGGTCCTTATGGACGTGCCAAATTTCCTGAGCCGCCCGAGGAAGAGGAGTTGTGGTGCCTTCTTGGCTGTTGCACCTACGTGGGCAATCCAGGACAGGTTGTTAGTTATCATCAGAGGGATCTGGCACTCTCCACCCTCTCAAGCTCAGTTCTACCAATGTAGATAGGGCGTGTTCTCCTCCTTTCTTTTTGAAGTCAACAATCAGTCCTATTGTTTTGTCGACACAGGTTGTTTTCACTGCACCATGTCACCAAGCCCTCTATCTCCCTTCTGTATTTTGACTCGTCGCGTCAGTAATAGATCCCACTACAGTGGTGCTGTCAGCGAACATGTAGATGGCATTCGTTTGGAATTTGGCAACACAGTCGTGGGTGGTCAGGGAGTACAGTAGGCAGCTGAGGACGCATCCTTGGGGGCCTCCAGTGTTGAGTAACTGCAGGTACGCACGACTCATGTCCAGCTTCGTGAAGGACAAATCCCCTCCCCAGGCAGTTTTGCGTACAAGTCCTCTATACAAGGCATTGGGTATTTATCCAGCTGCAAAAAGTGGTTTACCGTTTACTTAAAAGCCCCACAAAGGCGATCCAACCCTTGAGCTTCACGACTGGTGCTGCCAATTCCAGAAAGTGCACTGGTTTGATTATTCCTTTGCTTTCTAGCCTCCTGATTTCAGTCTCTACTTTTGCACCCAAGGCAAATGGCACCCGGTGGGCCTTGCAGAATCGCTTCCTGGTCAATATGTAGATGGCCTTGGTCCCTTTGATAGTCCCTAGGCCTTCCTGCAAAACCTCCGAGTATTTAATTAGGACTTCACTCAGGCAGCCATTTTCTAATCAAAAAATATTGAGCCAATCAAGTTGAATCTTTCTCAACCAATTTCACCCCGTCAAACTTCAGCCTGAGCCTTTTACTACAATCAGCAGTAACTGAACCAGCTGCTTCTCATGAGAGACCGGAACCGAAGTTGAACTCTTAATCTGTAGAGGTTCCCCATTATATATTCTCAGCTTGGTCGAAGTCTTAAACAACTTGGACCAGGATAACAGTCCCAATCAGGGAACTTGTATTCTATGAAATCCACCTGGCTGACCTCATTCCAATCACTACAGAGCCACTTGGGGCTTGGTTGCATAAATTGATGATGGCAGGGCAGGTTGTGAAAGTAACCAGCAAAGAATATAGTCTTTTGGGCATAGTCCACAGAACACTTGGAAATTACAATGAACCACCATACAAGACTGGTTTAGTCAAAACTCTTAGATTGTATCCAATTCAATCTACCATGCTTTCAGGAGCCTTCAGAGAAGATTTATTAGAATGAATGGAGAAGCTGGGTTGTTTCATTACAGCTGAGAAAATCTGATGCAGGTATTCAAAATCATGAGGGGTCTGGACAGACTAGTTAGAAAATTTGTTCCCATTGGTGGAGGGATCCGAGGGTCTAGATTCAAGATCAGTGATAAAGAACAAAGGCGACATGAAGAAATCTTTGATTTAGAATGAACCACCTAAGAGGGCAGCAGATCCAGATTCTACCATAGCTTCTGAAACAGAATATTTACTTGAAGTGAGACAATTTGCAGGGATAATGGGTGTTAAGACAGGACACAGGTTAGGGCAGGTGGGATTCATGTCAGGTGAGGAAGGATGGGATTTCAGGTCAGGAGGAAGGTTGACCCAGTTGGAACAAAGTCAAGCCCCAATTTGAGAAGTATTGAAACAGGTCAGGATGTATTTAGGTAGTATTTAGATGTACAGTTGCAATGCCAAGGCATACAAGGCTATGTGCCAAGTGCTGGCAAATGGGATTGGACTAGTTAGGTGCTTGTCTTTCATAATCAGCATGGACTCAATGGGCTGAAAGAACTTTTTCTGTGCGATGCTCTATGACTCTATGCAAATGCAATTGTACAGTATCATTAATTCGCTTACCTCATAAAGGGAACAAGTGGAGTTCTTTCTTAGAAAAGTTTTAGCTGCACACTCTCTCCAGCTCTCAACATCTGCAAGAAGGGACTCAAGTTGAGGAAGTGGATCCAAACGTACTGGGATTGCACGGCCACGTGTGACAAGTTCTACCAATGTTTCCACTGGAGGGTGCTCATCAGAACTCTTAACAATAAATATGAAAAGAAAATAAAGTCCAGATAAAACACAAAATGCTCAAGATAATCAACTTGCAAAGTTTATCCACACTTATAAAGCTGTGGTGCAGTGCACATATCTTAAGTTTTGGTGTTTAGTAGTTGTTTAAGTAAGTATCACTGAAAATGAAGTGCCTTTCTGCAGAATCAAAATATTACATTGTAATAAAGAGTCACAAGCAAGTCCTCATCACGATATCTCATGAACAAATTATAATTATGGTATTCCTCATGGTAAATCAGAGGTTTTTCACTGTTTTGTACCATTATAAAAATATGGGTAATTATGCTATGTAGGGGATAACAAGACAGATATTCCCAGTGACAGAACCCTAAACCTATTTTTAATCAGATGATATTGCAGGATTTTTGCTGATGTTTTGCAGATTAACCACCAGATTAACCTGCCACCCAGGTGGATAGAGTTTGTTAAGAAGGCGTATGGTGTATTAGCTTTCATTAATAGAGGGATCGAGTTCAAGAGCCGTGAAGTTATGCTCCAGCTATACAAAAGCCTGGTTCGGCCACATCTGGAGTATTGTGTCCAGTTCTGGTCGCCTCATTACAGGACAGATCTGGAGGCGCTGGAAAAGGTGCAGAGGAGATTTACCAGGATATTGCCTGGAATGGAGGGAAGGTCTTTCGAGGAAAGGTTGAGAGAGCTAGGGCTTTTCTCTTTAGAACGATGAAGGATGAGAGGCGACTTGATAGAGGTGTACAAAATGATCAGATATATAGATAGGGTAGACAGCCAGAGACTTTTTCCTAGGGTGGAGGTAGCTATTACAAGGGGGCATAGTTTTAAAGTGAGTGGAGGTAGATACAGGGGAGACGTCAGAGGTAGGTTCTTCACTCAGAGTGGTCAGGGCGTGGAATGCATTGCCAGAGAGGGTAGTGGAGTCGGCCTCATTAGGGGCATTTAAGCGGCTATTAGATAGGCATATGGATGATAGTATAAAAGGTAGGGGTGGAGGTTAGATGAACCTTAGGATTAGGGTAAAAGTTCAGCACAACATCATGGGCCAAAGGGCCTGTACTGTTCTATGTTCTACGTTCTAACTGCGCAACTGTCATTTAATCAGTGAAAGCATAAATGAATGACATTTAGTAAACAAACATGTCTATGTTTGCTTAATTTTAATACCTTAGCATTTTTTAAAGATAAAGTACCTTGCAAAGATGTTTTGCACGATTTACTCACTTACAGGTAGACAGTATTTAGCTGATGTAGAATGGAATACAATTGCTATTAATAGCACAAGGAATGGGTCCACATGGAAGACTGAAACAGGTTCTAAAATTAGATATACTGGATTAGCGCATCTGAATTTTAGCAGCATCGGAATTGGGGGCTTTATTGTGAAAAGGGAAACTGAAGTTTGGAACAGCTAGAGACTGAGCGTGAAGTTTAATTCAATGGTAAGGAGAGTGAAAAAGACTCTATGGGAGGATCCCTGCTCTGGCTTATGACTCTTGGGATCTCTGAACACTAGTATTGCGTCTCATAACTGATACCTGTATGCATTCACGTCAAACACCCTCATACATATGTGCATGGTAAACCTAAACACCAAGAAATAAAAGGACTGAGAAACAGAATGCACAGTTTGAAGCTGTTTTATGTAAGAAGCAAATACGAGAGGAGAAAAACCTTTTCACGAGTGACCAAGGTTTAGAATCACTGTCTGCACATGTAGAGGAGCACTGGATGATTATTTCAATGGAAACAACGTGCAGGGAAACAGGCAGGAGTTAGGCACTAAGTCAAAATGCTCAGAGTCAAAGCAGGCACAATAGACTGAATGGCCTCCTTCTACAATTCTGTGATGCTATGATTGACCTCTAGTAGCCACATTACTTACATAGCTAGTACAGTTCAGCTTCTGGTCAGTAGTAACCCCATTCAACAAGAGAAATGCCACTGACTGTCAAAATGAGATGGTTAGATCCTTTCTTGTTCCAGATGCTCACTGCTTGACGCTCAATGATGAGTCACGTTTGTGCCACAGATCAGCGCAAGTCTGAATATTGTCCAGATCATGCTGTATAACACCACAGAATACAGCAATTTCTGTACAGTCACAGATGAAGTTGAAAAGCCTGACTTCTGACCACGTGATAGCACTGATGGAGCATAGAAGATGATTGGGCATACACACTCATCTGAGGAGCTCTTGCAACGATGCCCTGGGATTGAGATGATTTGATTTCCAACAACCAGCCTATCTTCCTTTGTAATTAGGTATGACTCCAAAATTATGGAGAGCTTGCCCCCAATTCCTGTGGAAGCCAATTTTGTTACAGCTCCTTGGTACTACACTTGGCCAAAACTGCCTTCATGTCAAAGGAAGTTACTCGGATCTTGCCACTAGAGATCAGCACTTGTTGTCCATGCTTAAAACAAGGCTGTAATGAGGTCAGGAGCCAAGTGGCACTGGTGGTACAAAAACTGAGCATTAGTGGGTGGCCACTTGAAAGCAGTCAGCCACACCTCCCATCACATTGATGGTGCAGCGATTGGCCAGATTAGATTTGTCTTGCTTTTTGTGGCAAGGACATAACCGAGACAAATTTCACATTACCAAACAGATGCCACTTTTGTAGGTGCACTGACACCAGTTGGCTCATGGCACAGTTGGTCCTGGAACATAAATCTTCAGCGCTTTTGCCAGAAAGCTCCCACAGGCCCCAATGCTTTCACAGCATCCAAAGCCTTCAGCCATTTCTCAATATCATGAAGTGAATCAAATTGGCCGAAGGCTGACAACCGTGGTGCTTGATGCTGCGCTGCTTCAGCAGCAGACTGTGATAGATTATCCACTCGGCACTTCTACACAAGTTGCTTGCGCATACTTCAGCCTATTACAGTTATGTGCTTGGCTCCAAGATCATTGAGGATGGGAGCATTTGTGGAACCTGCAAATCCTGTGAATTTTAAAACTGTCCACCACCATTCATAACTGAAAGTGATCGGACTGCAAAACTTGGGATCTGATTCATTTGTTAACTCTGATTTCGCTCCATAGATGCTGCCAGACCTGCTGAGCTTTTCCAGCAATTTATGCTTTTGGTTTCTGCTTTCCAGCATCTGCAGTTCTTTCAGTTTTTGTTTACGGTCAAACTCAATAGTTGTGGGAATGCTTATCCTGAATACATCTTTTCCCACATTATTCTCCTTTAACAGCTTGTTGTCCCCTCCCGTAACCTGTTGTGATCTCTTTTTATCCTCCTCATAAACTAACATTCTCACTTAAACTATGTATTGTAAATAAACTTGAATATTGTTCTGTCTCTTTATTTAAATCCTTGGTTGTAAATTAGCTGATGGCAAAACTCTTATCCTAGCAGCACAATGTTAATTACAGCCTGTTAACACCTAATCTCTGCTCCCTGCTCGCTCATCCTCCATCAATTCCAATATAAACTACGCAATTCCTTATCTTGTAAATTCTACTTTTATTTTACCTTTTGCATCACTATCAAATGACTTTTGGAAACTGTCTCAAAATTATCTACTCCACTCTTTAAAACTCTAAATAAATTTGTCAAGCATAATTTCCCCCTTTTCAAAACATTTATTCTGATCATACATTTTCATGATTTTCAAAGCATATTACAGATTCTGGGGATCTGTTAGCTTTTAGTTTCTTGTTTCTACACTATATTTTCTCTAACAATATTCATTATACTACATTAAGTTTCTCCTACCTATTAGTCCATGTTACTTTCAAGTATGTAAATTGTGTCTTCTACATTGAAGACAAAATATTTGTTCAATGTCTCCACCACTTCCCCATGGTAATCTCTCCAGTCTCTATTTCTAAGCAATTGTTTACTGTAGTTACTCTCATTTTTACATATTTTTAAAAACTCTTACAAACTGTGGGGCCAGAGAAGGAAGTTACAAAGAAGGGGAGCAGCTGATTCCATGGAAAGATTTGAAATCAAGAATGATCATTTAAAATTCAAGACATGATCAGACCCACTACCAATTCAGATAAGTATAAAGAGAGCGACTGAACAGAATGTCATGCAGGTTAGGACGTAGGCAGCAAATGATAGGGGACGTGAGAGAATTTAAAGGCACTCAAAATACAGAGAACATGTGAATAGCTCAGCTGTGAGAGTGAAATGCAGGATAAAAAGGTAGGTAGATATGGGAACATTGAAATTGATAAAACAAAGTAGGCCAGCAGCAGCACAGAAAAAAAGAAAATAAAAGCACACTGTCAATAATTTAGGCCAACCTACCAACAGAAGAATCCCACCCCGAACCCAAACTAGTTACTTACAAATTATTGTGACTACTACTTAACTGCTCAGTGCCTTTAATGACATTCCTCTGTATCCTATTTTACTACATACATTCTTAAAACACTCAAATGCCTGCCAGTGTTAAATGAAAGGACTGAGGAATCTCATGCAAACGTGTTTTTTTTTGCTGATATTTGCTAATTTGAGGACCTGTGTTCTATACTTTAATGAAATGATGAATAGCCGTGCAAACTTCAATACAAAAAAAAAATGGGAAATGCTCAACAGGTCTGGTAGTATCTGTGGAGACAGAAACAAAGTTAACATTTGACATAACTAATGAAAGGTCACAGAGTTAAAATATTAACTCTTTCACTCTCCACAAATATTGTGAGACAGCAAAAAATTTCTAGCATGTTCTGCTTTTACTTCAGATTTCATAGCACCCGTTTTGCTCAGTCTCAGGTTTGGTATGGACTGCATTAAGGCAAACCATAACTTTCAGACCAGGAATAAGCAGACAGATAGGAAATGGATTTTTAAAATGCAAGTTTGTGAAGGCATTAAAATGCAGGTTCAATTTTCAGTACAGGATTGAAATGATGCTAAGTAGAGGGCTGAACATGTTGACATTAGGACTGAATGTCAGTTATGATTGCAATAGATAATAAAATGTAAGAACAATGCTGGAGTCAGATGCAGTAAATACTACTTCATTGGGCAGCACTATGGCTGTGGTTAGCACTGCTGCCTCACAGTGCCAGGGACCCAGGTTCAATTACACTCTTGGGCAACTGTGTAGAGAGTTTGGACATTCTCCAGTGTCTGTGTGGGTTTCGTCCAAGTGCTCCGGTTTCCTTCCAGTCCAAAGATGTGCAGGTTGCACGGACTGGCCATGCTAAATTGCCCAATGTCCAAGGACATGCTGACTAGATGGATTAGACATGGAAAATGCATGGCTACAAGCATAGGGTAAGCTTTTGGGGGTGGGGGGATGGTGTTGCTGTTCAGAGGGTCAATGTGGGCTCAGTGGACTGAATGGCCTGCTTCTCCACTGTGGAGATTCTATGAAATGGAAACAGAGCATTTCAATGAATGAACAGTTGTGTACGTTGCATTATTATAATGCAAACACCTCCTTTCTCGTGCTCAACTGCTGCAGTGTTTGTTACCTATCATTTCTTCAATTATACTCAACAACTGAACCAGTTTTAGGTCAGGTGCAAAAATGTACATGTATACTTTTTTGATGAAAGTATGACACATCAAACCCTATTTTCATTCTAAGGTAACCTGAAAAATCTCCACTTCTTCAAGCCAGCTTCGAGCCTTCTGTACAGCTTCCTTCAGAACAAGGACATTAGGCAAATACGCAGGAATAGCTCCCCCTTCTTCCAAGGCAGCCAATAGGTTTGTCAGGGAGTGCGGAGGTCTGCAGAAATCAAAGACACTTGTTAAAAAAAAGTCAATCTAATTCAGACTATTCTGAGTGTTTTTAACTAATATTTAACAACTGTCTCCAATACGTACATATGCATGTTACATTACATATAATGTTCAGGAAGAATAAATATGTCTGTCTGAACAATTCAACAAGGAAATGTTTTTAAGTCCATTCAAACTGATAATTTTTTAAAAATTGTCTTGTTTTACTTTGTGTGTGGACATTCATCTTCCTCAATGCACTACAGTTACTTTGCCTCCCTTGTTGTTTTTCCAGAAGTCACTCAAAACGAGACACCTAAGCCACACTGTCTCATTCAAACTTTTAACCTCTTCAGTTGGTCCAAGCTATTAGTGGTGTATACATGGCTGAATGTTTTTACGTGAAAATTGATAACTGGTTCTCTCAGCACTTTTTCTAACAAGCAAAACTTTAATGTAGGAAATGGGTTTGAGGTTCAACATTTAAATATACCCAACTCTACCAGTGCCTACTGATCTCAGCCAAAACCCTAACAGGATAATTGCAATTACCAACAAAACACTCCAGCTGGATTGATCAAAGTGTAGAAATATTGTTATCTTTCAACTATTTGTCTTTTAAGAACTAAACTCATTCAAATCTCCTCTGAAAAACACATTACATCATGTTTAACAATATTACAATGATAACTAAAGGTGCTAACTTTTTTTGTCAACAAGACAAATATCAGAAATTGGGAATTTTTCAAATTCATAATCTCATTCCAATCCTGGAAATATCCACCTGCCCTATTTTGTGCCATTAAGGCTAGAAACACACTAGCGATCAGACCAGCACTTCCAGAGATAGGTCGGATGGAGTGGGATCATGGCAGATGCAATTTAATCCAGGTAAGTGTGAGGTGATGCGTTTTAGTGGTCTACTGGAGGAGAGATTTACACAATGAATGGTAGGTCCCTTGGGAGTACTGTGAGAAAAAGGGACCTTGGTATATACGTCCATAGATCCCTGAAGGTGTCAGTGCAGGGTAGTGAAGAAAGCATATGGGATGCTTGCAAATATCTCCATTCAGGAGGCTACTGGCCCAGATGCAGCCCTTATCCATCACAAACCCTAAGCCCCCTCCATGCAGCCATGCACCCCTCCACTATCCCTCTCATCCACTCCACCACGCATAGTTCATAGCAACAGTATTTACACTGTACTGAGCCAATCATCCATCATTGAAATGCACCTGAAATTGGCAACATAACTTAATACCCTTTGAAAATCACCACTCCCCTCACAATCTCAAAAATGTTAATCAGAGCCATTGATATTATCAATGGCAAAAGGCCACTTTACATCTCTGTAGAGTCATACAGTGTAAAAACAGGCCCTTCAGCCCACTATGTTCATACCATCCAACACACACCAAATTGTACTATCCCCATTTACCTGCACTTGACCCATGCCCTACTCTGCCCTGGCATTTTAAGTAGTCATCCTGATGCTTCTTAAATGTTGCAAGAGTACTTGCCTCCACCACCTTTTGGGCAGCACGTTCCATATTTTGATCACCCTCTGGGTGAAAACACTTTTCCTCAGATACTTTTCAAACCACTTACTCCTCACTTAAACTTATGCCCTCTTACAACACGTTTAACTTGGGGGAAGGATGCTCATGATCTACACTGTCTACACCTCTCAATTTTGTCTACCTCAAATCAATACCCCCTCAGTCTTCTCAGCTCCAGAGAAAACAAACCCAACCTATCCAATCTCACATCATAACTGGGACTTTCTGTTCCAAGCGACATCCTGCTGAATCTCCTCTGCATCCTCTCCAGTGCAATCACGTCCTTCCGACAGTGTGGCAACCATAACGCACACAGTGTTCTATCTCTGGCTCGACCAATGCTCTACGAAGTTGCAACAAGACTTCCCTGCTCGTATATTCGATGCCCTGGCTAATGAGCTGGATGAGAGAACCAGACATGATAACGCCAAGTTTACTGATGACACAAAATTGGGCAGGATTGAATGTTGTGAGTAGGATACAAGGAGGCTGAAGGTATTTTGACAAGTTGAGTGTGTGGGCAATCACATGGCAGATACATTGCATTGTGGCCCAGTATGAACTTATACATTTTCGTGTAAAAAAAGGGTACAACAAGCAATTAGAAGGCAAATACTCTGCTGGCTTTCATTTGTAAAAAGATTGGAGTTCAGAAGTAGGGATGTGTGACTGCAGTTATACAGGGCCTTGTGAGTCCAGACCTGGAGTATTATGTGCAGTTGCAGTTTTGAATTCCCTACAGAAAGGATATACTGCATTAGAGGGAGTGCAGCTGAGGTTCACTAGGCTATACCAGGGACAGAGGGATTGAGGAGAAATCAATTCAAAGGGCCTACTGCTCCTTCTTGTCTCTATGTTAAAGGTGACAATATAAGCCCGCACTCCCTGAAAGATCTGGCAACACTTAAGCAGGGTTTTTATAAGGTAACAACAGGAAGAGCAGCTGGGCGTACTTAACCAAAAAAAAAAGGGAGTGTCACACAGTACACAAGTGACCCTTTGGGCTATCGAGTCTGTACCGAAAAAAAAAATCACCTATTTAAATTAATCCCACACAACTCGGCTCATAGCCTCAAACATTACGACATTTCAAGTGTTCATTCAGGTACTTAAAAGTTTGAGGTTTCCTGCCTCTACTAACCTTCCAGACAGTGTATTCCAGATCCCACCAGCCCCTAGGTGGCATTTGTTTCCTCAACCTAAACCTCCTGCCCTTCTTAAAATTACCGACTCTTAAACTGCTTTACATCTATCTGTCCATGCCTCTCAATCGTATACACCTGAATCAGGTCCACCTCAACCTTCTCTGCTCTAAAGAAAACAACCCAAGCTTATCCAGCTCTCTTTATAGCTAAAAGTATGCCATCTTGAGCAACATCCTTGTAAATCCTTGTATACCCCTCCAGTGCACAATCACATTCTTCTTACAGTAAGCAACCAGGAGTGCACACACTACTCCAGCTGTGGTCCAACCAAAGTTTTATGCAGTTCCAACATAACCTCTTATAATCCATGCCTTAACTGATAAAGGCAAGTGTCCTATATGTCTTAAACATCCTATTATCCCATCTTGCCACCTTCAGGGATCTGTGAACGAGTGCCCCAAGATCTCGGTGTTCCTCTAAGCTTCCTAGTGTCCTGCCATTTGTTGAGTACTCCCTTGTTTTACTACATCTTCCAATGTTCATCAACTCTCAGTTATCAGGGTTAAATTCCATCTGCTACTGATCTACCCACCTGATGTACCCATATCTTCCTGCAATCCAAGAAATCATCTTCATTATTAAATTCCCAGTCAATTTTTTTGTCATCCACAAACCTACTATCTACGTGTCAATATAAAAAGCTCTTCTGAATACATTAAGAAAATCTGCCTCTCTATACCTTTAAAATTATGATTATCCTAATTAATGTTGGGGAAGTTGAAATCCCCTTCCTATTTACTGTATTAATTTTATGCACGTACAGGATTATACACATATCGCCATCTCTAATGCCTGCCTACTGTATGGGAATTGATAATACACTTCCAGCAATGTGACTGCTCCTTTTTTATTCATTAGCTCTACCCACAAAGCCGCATTTTGAAGACACTTACAAAATATCTTTCCTTACTGCAGCAACTAACTCCGCAATTAATAATGCAAAACCACCTCCTCTTTTACACCCTTCCTATCTCGCCTGAAGAACCTATACCCCAGAATGCGGAGTTGCCATTCCTGCCCCTCCCTCAATCACATCCCTGTGATGGCAATAATATCACAATTCCACCTGTCAATCCACACCCTTAACTCACCTGTCTTACTCCTAGCATTAAAGTAGAAGCCATCTAGACTCCCTTACTCCCTCGAACTCAAGATAGCTGAACTCCTTCACTATAGTGTGCAGTGTCCTTATTGTACTTAGGCTGTGCCTGCTCCTCTGCAAAACTAATTTAAATGCCTCCCAACAGCATACGCAAACCCACCCACAAGAATGTTGGTTCCATTCTGGTTTAGGTATAGACCAACCAATTTATATAGGTTGCATCTTCCCCAAAAACAGTTCCAGTGATCCACAAATCTAAAACCCTCCATCCTGCACCAACTCGAGCCAGGCATTTCTGTACTCGCCAACACGTGGCACCAGGAGTAGAATTAGAATATGCTTTACTGTCATGTGTACAGAAGTACAGGAGTAGAGTGAAAAGTTTACAATGCCACCTCTTATGTCGCCATCTTGGACATTAAGTACTAGGTACTAATCTTAGATACAAAAAAAGGAATAAAAAGAAAAGTTGCATTACCTTACAGTGATTCACAGTATAAGTTAGAAGTAAGACATAGTTAAAAGAATAAACATGACAGTCAGATAAACAATTACAGCTGGAGGCTGTCCAGAGAAGATTCACTTGGTTGATTCCAGGTAGGTGAGATCATAAACAGAAGAGGTTAAGTCGGTTGAGATGAACATAGCAAAATCCTGTTCTGAAGGGGAATTACATCAGACACAACATCAATTGTTTTTCTTTCCACAAACGCTGCCATTTTTGCTAAGTTTCTCCAGCAGTTTATGTTTATTTCAGATTTTCAGCATCTGCAGTATTTTGCATTGGACTAGGCTGGGCCTGTACAAACATTGGAATTTAGTAGAACGAAGAGAAACCTTACCAAATCATACAAGAGTAGCTGAGTTTCCGAGAACTTGTTTCCCTTTGTGGGCAAATCTAGGATCAACGGCATAATCTTAGAGTAAGGGGTCATCAATTTAAGATAGAGTTGAGGGGAATTTCTTCTCAAAAGGAATTCTTTACCACAGAGGGCTGTTACCCATGTCCAAGGCTTAGACAAACAGATTTTTATCAGTAAGGGAATTGTGGGGCATGGGGAAAAAGCAAAGTGGAGTTGAGGATTATCAGATCAGCCATTCTCTCATTAAATGGTAGAGTAGACTCACTATGCCAAATGCC